ATGAGAGAAAATGGAGGGAAAATGGCGGAAAAATGGGGAAAACGCTGGGAAAACGCTGGGAAAAGTTGGGAAAAGTTGGGAAAAGTTGGGGAAAAAAGGGAATATTGTGGGAAAATTCTGGGAAATTTGGGAAAATGGAGGGAAAATCTTGGGAAAATGGAGGGAAAACCTTGAGAAAAATGAGAGAAAATGGCGGGAAAATGGAGGGAAAATGGGGAAAACGTTGGGAGAACGTTGGGAAAACGCTGGGAAAAGTTGGGAAAAGTTGGGAAAAAAAGGGAATATTGTGGGAAAATTCCGGGAAATTTGGGAAAATGTTGGGAAAATGGAGGGAAAATTTGGGAAAATGGAGGTAAAATGGCGGGAAAATGGCGGGAAAATGGCGGGAAAATGGGGAAAACGCTGGGAGAACTTAGTGAAAAGTTGGGAATTTCAGGGAAATGTTGGGAATTGTTGGGAATTTGGGAAGGCGCACCTGGACCTTCATGAGGCGCGCGCTGTAGGAGCGGAAGTAGGAGAAGTGGACGCGGGCCACGGTGGCCACGTAGTGCTGGCGCAGCTCCTGCGCCGCCGCGCGCTCCTGCCCCAGCAGGAAGCGGTAGAAAAACCTGGAATGGCGCGGATTTTGGGGATTTGGGGGATTTTGGGGGGTTTTGGGGGGTTTTTGGGGAGTTTTGGGGTTTTTATTGGGATTTTGGGGGGTTTTATTGGGATTTTTGGGGGGTTTTATTGGGATTTTATTGGGATTTTTTGGGGATTTTTTGGGATTTTTTAGGAATTTTGGGGATTTTTATTGGGATTTTTGGGGGATTTTTTAGGGATTTTGGGGATTTTTATAGGGGTTTTTGGGAATTTTCGGGATTTTTAGGGAATTTTAGGGATTTTTGGGGGTTTTTGGTGGATTTTTGGGGATTTTTCGAGATTTTTGGGGATTTTATTGGGATTTTTGGGAGTTTTATTGGGATTTTATTGGGATTTTTTGGGGATTTTTGGGGATTTTTTTCAGGATTTTTTGGGAATTTTGGGGTATTTTTGGGGATTTTTTAGGAATTTTGGGGATTTTTATCGGGATTTTAGGGGGATTTTTTAGGAATCTTGGGGATTTTTATTGGGATTTTTGGGGATTTTTTGGGGATTTTTTGGGGATTTTGGGGGATTTTTTGGGGATTTTGGGGATTTTTATTGGGATTTTATTGGGATTTTTGGGGAATTTTCCGGGATTTTTATTGGGATTTTTGGGATTTTTATTGGGATTTTGGGGATTTTTATTGGGATTTTGGGGGATTTTTTCAGGGATTTTTAGGGAATTTTTGGGATTTTTCGAGATTTTTTTTTGGGGTGGGAATTTGGGGATTTTTTGGGGTAATTTCTTTGATTTTAGGAGTGGGAATTTGGGGATTTTGGATGAGAATTTCGGGATTTTTTTAACGTAATCTCTGGGAATTTGGGGTGGGAATTTGGGGATTTTAGGGGTGGGAATTTGGGGAATTTTTGGGGGAAAATTTTGGGGGATTTTGGGGGAATTTCCTGACTTGAACTTGAGCAGGGAGTTCTGCGGGATCTGGTAATTCGTCATCGGCTTCCGGAAGGAGAAAATCTTCTGCAGCACGAACTCGCGGATCTTCGTCACCGCCTGCGGAAATTCGGGAAAAATTCGGGAAAATTCGGGAAAATTCGGGGAAAATTGGGAATTGAGATAATCCCAGTTTGTCCCAGTTCATCCCAGTCCATCCCAGGCCCCATTGGCAGCACAAACTCCCAGATCTTCGTCACCGCCTACGGAAATTCGGGAAAAATTCGGGAAAATTTGGGAAAATTTGGGGAAAATTGGGAATTTAGAGAATCCCAGTTTGTCCCAGTTCATCCCAGTTTGTCCCAGTTTGTCCCAGGCCCCATTGGCAGCACAAACTCGCGGATCTTTGTCACTGCCTAAGGAAATTCGGGAAAATTTGGGAAAAATTGGGAAAAATTGGGAAAATTTTGGAATTTTTGTGTGGGAATTTGGGGGTTTTGGGGCAAGAATTTTGGAAATTTTTGGGTGGGAATTTGGGAATTTTTGGGGCAGGAATTTCGGGAATTTTTGGGTGGGAATCTGGGAATTTTTGGGTCAGAATTTTGGGACATTTGAGCGGGAATTTTGGGAATTTTTGGGTGGGAATTTGGGGGTTTTGGGGCAGGAATTTTGGGATTTTTTGGGTGGGAATTTTGGGGAATTTTTTCATTGGAATTTGGGAATTTTTGGGTGGGAATTTGGGGGATTTGGGGCAGGAATTTTGGAATTTTTTTGTGCAATTCCCGGGCCGCGATTTTTGCGATTTTTTTTGCGTAAATTCCCGAATTTTGGGGCCGCGACTTTTGCGATTTTTTTGCGTAAATTCCCGAATTTTGGGGCCGTGATTTTTGCGATTTTTTGCGTAAATTCCCGAATTTTGGGGCCATGATTTTTGCGATGTTTTTGCGTAAATTCCCGAATTTTGGGGCCGTGATTTTTGCGATTTTTTTGCGTAAATTCCCGAATTTTGGGGTCGCGACTATTGCGATTTTTTTGCGTAAATTCCCGAATTTTGGGGCTGTGATTTTCGGGATTTTTGGGCCGGAATTCCCGGGATTTTGGCACCTTGATGCGGAGCTTGTCCAGCACGTGCTGGACGTCGGCGCAGGCCAGCGTGTCGCGGAACGCTTCCTCCTTCACCGCCCCGATCTGCGCGTCCAGCGCCCGCAGCTGCTCCAGGAACTCCGGAGACGTCACCGGCGCCTCCAGGATCACGCTGGGCACG